GGTATTGCTGGCTGAGGCTTTATATCTATGCCACCTTGCAGCCTCAGTATTTATTTTCTCTCTTTACTGGTCACTCTTAAGATTGACATTTTTAAAAAGATTTATTTATTTGAAAGAGTTTCAGAGACAGAGATCTGCCATTTACTGGTATCTAAGTAGCTGCCACATCTGGAGCTGGACCTGGCTGAGGCCAGGAGCCTGGAGCTCTGACTGGCTCTCCATCTTTTTTTTTTTAAAGGTTTATTTATTTTTATTACCAAGTCAGATATACAGAGAGGAGGAGAGATAGAGAGGAAGATCTTTTGTCCAATGATTCACTCCCCAAGTGAGCGCAACGGCCCATACTATGCCGGTCCGAAGCCAGGAGCCAGGAACCTCCTCCGGTCTCCCATGTGAGTGCAGGGTCCCAAAGCATTGGGCCGTCCTTGACTGCCTTCTCAGGCCACAAACAGGGAGCTGGATGGGAAAGAGAGCTGCCGGGATTATAACTGGCACCCATATGGAATCCTGTTGTGTTCAAGGCAAGGACTTTAGCCGTTAGGTCACGGCGCCGGGCCCTGGGTCTCCATCTTTAATGTGGCTTTTGGGATTCAAGAATGGGGGCCATCTTTGGCTGTTTCTCCAGGTGCATCAGCAGGGAGATGTAGTGGAAGTCGAGGAGTTAAGACTTGAACCTGCTACCATACGGATAGCAGCATTGCAGGTGATGGTTTTAACCTGCTGCGCCACAATACTGGCACAATGCTTGGCAAATTAACATACAGAGAAGTTCTCTGTCACTCTTGGAAGAACTGCATAAATATAATGTGATGGGAACACTGGTGATGAAAGCAAGGCTTTGTTTCAGATGCAGGGCTTTGCATGTGGGGCCTCGAGGTCTGCATGTATGGTGTTTTACTTCTCTTACACGTATATTTAGCCTCAGATCTCTCATCGTGCCTTTGAAATCTAAAAACCGGCTCATGGTAAGCAGACCTTTTTCTGGCAAGCATTATGGATAAAAACAGTGCTTGAGCGTTTTCAGAAGTGCTTTTTAGTCTTGAAATAAAAGCTTGCTAGAAACAGTGTTGGTGTGTGGGAGATAATTTATGCTTTACGTAGTTTCAGGTTTAAGATGTGTTTAACATAAAATAGGTAAAATGGCCAGTGGTAATCTTGTAAAAGATGCTTGAGTTTGAATACTATTTTTCATTGGCAATATTTTTCTTGGTATTACAGTATAATCTTTTATATTTGAGGGTGCTTCATAAAGTTCGTGGCAATATGGAATTAAAAGTAGGAGGTGGGGCTGGTGCTGTGGCATATTGGGTAAAGCTGCTCTCTGTAGTGTAGGCATCCCAAGTGGGTAGTGACTCAAGTCTTGCCTGCTCTACTTCTGATCTAGTTCCCTGTCTTGGAAAACAGACGAGGATGGCACAAATCCTTGGCCATTGCTTCTATAAGGGAGACCCAGAAGAAGCTCCTGGTTTTTGGCTTTGAGCTGACTCAGTACTGGCAATTATGACCATCTGGAGAGTGACCCAGTGGATGGAAGATTTCTCTCTTTCTTTAACTCTGCCTTCCAAATAAATAAATAAATGAAGTCTTTTTCTAAAAAATGTATGAGATGTGTGTGTTGCTCTGAAAATTTGAAATGTATTAGTTTTTCTCATGTATTTTGTATATGTTAAAAATTTCCCCCCCTCAATATTGTACTTAATTTGTTTTAAAGATTTTTTTTATCTTTCTTCTCTAACTCGGCCTCCCCCCAAAAAGGCAATTTTACAGAGAGGAGGAGAGACAGAGATATCTTTCATTGATTGATTCATTCCCCAAATGGCTGTGTGGCCAGAGCTGAGCTGATCCAAAGCCAGGAGCCGGGATCCTCCTCTGGGTCTCCCACGTGGGTGCAGGGGCCCAAGGACTTGGGCTGTTCTCCGTTGCTTTCCCAGGCCATGCGTGGGGAGCTAGATGGGAAGTGGAGCAGCCAGGACACGAACTGGCGCCCAGATGAGATGCTGGTGCTACTGAGAGGAGGATTAGCTTTTTTGACTCACCGCAATGGCCCCAAAATTGCACTTTAAATTTCAATTTTCCATAAAGTTTTTGTAATCTCATTATTTTTTTCTGTCAGCTATAGTGTTAAAAGTTTCAGCCATGGCCCTTTCAGAAGTGATTTTAATTGTGGCTGTTTCTCCCAGGTTCTCCTGGACACGTGAATGGGTTGATGAGATAGCTGCGTGTACTAGCCTTATTCTTCTTGCTTATGAGTCAGTGGGAAGATAAGAGAGCGCTTATTGAACATGTCTTTGAACTGATTTCTTACTTCTTTACCTCAGTTCCTGCCTGTGCAGTCTTGTGGGCTGTCTCGGATTTGGATATGGAATATTAAAAGGGTTGACCCTCCTTCAGACACTGCTTTCTCATTATTTCTGTGTGGGCCACACGGAACAAGCCTTTCTATTTAGAAGCCTTTGTGTTTAGCTTCCCCTCAGGAGCTGGCTGTCCTGTAGGCATTTTGTTCAGTGTACTGCTTAGTGATCACTGTGGACTAATTCCTGACGTCTTTCACCTTTAGCCTCTCCTTGGTGTGAGGCCTTGTTGCCTCAGAAGTTGCGAAGGTTCTCGATGCCCTATTTGCCTGGGGTTTCGCTTTGCTGCTTTGTTTTTACTTCATGGTGGGGAGGTAGCTTACTTGAATAATGTTTAGGACAAAGTTTTGCATTGTTACTTCTTTGTAATAAATGAAGGTAAAAAATTGAGTCTTGTTCTGTGTTAAAATACAATGAGGAAAGTATTTGATTTTTTCAGTTATGAAATAGATACTAAAAATTGTTTACATACTCAGTGTTTTTTCTTACCCCTATTGATAAGAAAATGCAAACAGACCTGAAGGAGATGAAAGTATCCAGTGAATTCCCAAAGGCTGCCTTCTGTCCGTGGAAAGCTTGACTCTCCCACCCAGGATTTTACACCTAAGGATAGGTGCATTTGAAGTTTGCTTGAAGTCTCAGTTCACTTGTTCTGTCGGAAAGTTGTCTTCTCTTGTAGATTTCTGTTTACTGCAGCGCTCTGTCATTCATACGTAATGTTTGTTGTGTGTTTACTGAAACACCCAAAGCCCTTTGTTCTTGCTGGTGTTAGTGTCTATTGCTAAGTGTCTTGAATGTTGTAGTAGCCAGAATCATGTCTGTTTTACCGTTGTTTCAATGCCTGGTGTGCAGTGGCCCTTTAATAAGGCTTTGATGAGGGAACCCAAGAAAGCTTAATGCATTTGAATTTTTTCTTTTTATGCTTTTCTAATAATTATGTGTGGATCAATACTTTTTTTGTGTGTGGTTGACATGGTGGCATAGCGAGCTGACTCTCACCTGCATCACCAGCAGTCCGTATGGTTGCTAGTTTGAGTCCCAGCTGCTCTACCTAAGATCCAAAAATATCCTATGACCTCGAAAAGCAGCCGAGAATGACTCGAGTTTTTGGGCCCCTGCTGTGTGGGAGACCTAGAGGTAGCTCCTGACTTCTAGGTTTAGACTGGCCCAATCCAGCCATTGCAACCATTTGGTGAGTTAACCAGCAGATGGAAGATCTCTCTGTCTCCCTCTCTCTCTTGCTCTCTCTAATTTTGCCTTTCCAATAAAAAAATAAATAAATTTTAAAAAGTAAGCTTTTTGGGATGTAAATGAAGTTGGCTTGGAATTTCACCTTATACATAAAAATTATGTCTTACAGTTAATGTAAAGATTGTCCTTCAGTCTTTACAATGAAGAGTGACACTAGTGTCAGTAATCAAACCAGTGTTTCTCTCCTTCATTCAGTGACGAGTCTGCCTGCATACAGTGGCATTCATCTCTGGTTGAGGCGTGCAGGGTCTTACGCAAGGTGGACAATCCTGCACCCTTCTGGCAGATTTTCCTACTGTCCACTTCTGCATGCTAGCTTTGACATTGCTACTCTTTTGGTTTGTTCTTTGCTAAATTCGTTTTGTGGTTTCTGGCTTCTGCTTCTTTTTTCATGCCATTCTGCGTCAGGACAACTTCTCCTCTCTCCTTTTGTGTCAGTCTTCAAGACCGTCTGAATTTCCCTGTGCCATGCCGGGCCTGGCTTCGTAGCAATCACAAGGTTTCTTGTGACTGTGTTTTGACGTTATTCTGAGATTGTGCTCTTCAGCCTCTTGCTTTTGTGTGTGTCTGTCCTTTCCAGTTTACTGGGGTTTCAGATCACTGAAGACAGGGATTTTCTTTGAGTTTTTCAGTGTATGCTTGATACAAAGTTTCTTAGTAAATAGCTCATTTGATTAATTTAAAAGGTTTACCCCACAAGTATTATAGCATGAATCCTGTGGGGAGTGCCTTGAGCTTATTATTGTGATTATTTAAAGTTTGTCTTCAGATTTTATGCTTTTTGTTTTCTTGCTTGCATGTAATAACTGTCACTACGGTATCAGAAAAATCTGTGTGCAAGTAGCGCAAGAAGCCTCAATAACTGCAGGCTGCCTTACGGCCCGTGTCAGTAAAATAGCTGAAGATGCAGCATGAAAGAAGATTGTTCTAGCTGAGAGAAGAGATGTTATGTGGGTTGGAGGCAAATATTTTTGCTAAGTAGAAATTCATTTCTTCTGACACCTCTGAACAATTTCATTCCCAAGGTATAAGGAAAATCCCTAGGAAGATGAGCAGATTTCATGAATAGATTTCAGTGTTTGCTAAACACTTGATTTTATGAAATTCATCCACTACTGGGTTGAGTAAGAAACTCTCCTTGCTTTATATCTAAGGAGCTATTTAAGAAATTCTCTGTAAGTGGTTTCTTACAGTTTAGTTCTTTGGTGACAAGGCATAAAACTGTAGGAATCATTAGCAATGGAATCTTCGTGGAAGGCGTTGAGAACCATAGCATTCTGTGACACACAAAAGAAGAAAAACTGTTGTTTTTAATATTTACTAAGCAGATGACTTTGCTTCTGTGTTCTCTGTTCATTGTACTGTAAGCATATTAGAGATTTGTTTTTCTTTGTTTAGGTACAAAGAGGGTGGAGAAGCTTTATTGATTTTGCTCCCATCAGAAGAAAAAGGGATGGTGCAGCAGCTTCTGCAGAGAAAAGTTCCTGTGAAAGAAATCAAGTAAGAGTCTTATTTTATGTGATTAGAAATGTTGAGGGCATGAAATCATTAAGTTCAGTTTTAATTCTCTAGACTCAGTTTTGTTTTCCTGCTAATCTATTCAGCTGTCTGTTTTATCAGTAAAAAAAAGTACTTCTTGATCACTCAGATGTAGGTTCACAATGAAATTGGGAAGCAGTCGCAAGACTTTTTGTATGTATTTCTTAACTCCACATCCTCCCATTATGAAATTTCCACTACAGTGGTAAATTTTTCAGAATGGTTAATCTGACCTAATCAATTAATAATTGCGTTAGTGTCAACCAAGATAAATAGTTGATCTGAGGGTTCACTCTGACATGTATGTACTGTTATGGCGTCAGAATATTTTCACTGCTGTAAGAATCTTGTGCTTTCCCTCTATCCCTGTCATCATGATTTTGCTTTACTGGAATGTCATGGAGTTGGAATCAGAACTTTTTGAGATTGAGTTTGTTCTCTCAGTAGCATACATTTAAGGTTCTTCCATATGTTTTGAAAATTAGAGAGCTTGTTTCTTTTTTGTGCTGAGTAATATTCCATTGTCTGGTTGTAATGCAGTTTTCTCTTTCATTTACTGAAATTCATCTTGATTGCTTTCAAGTTTTGGCATGAAGAAGAAAGCTGCTCTAAACATCATGGGGAGGCTTTGGTGTAAACCTCTTTTCAGCTACCTTGGGCAAATACCAGAGTTTATGATTGTTGGATCATAGGGGAAGAATATACTTGATTTTGTAAGAAAGTGTCTTCCAAACTGACTGTACCATTTTGGATTTTTTCCAGCAGTAAAGGGGAGTTACTGTTGCTCTGCATACTTGGGACAGCACTTGATGTTTTCATGGTCTGGATTTGTAGATTCTGACAGGTGTAGTTTTACTATTTATCTTTGTTAATAAGATTTGTTTATGTATTTGAAAGGCAGAGTCAGAGAGAGTGAAAGTGAATGAGGGAGAGATCTTTGATGTGATAGTTCACTCTGCAAGTGGCCACAATTGCCCATGGTTGGTTCACTTATTTGAAAGGCAGAATGACAAAAAGAGTGGAGGGAGTAGAGGACATATCCATTCTCCACTGCTTTCTCAGGCACGTTAACAAGGAGCTGGATTGGAAGTGGAATAATCCGACTTAAAATGGCGATGGGATGGATATGGGGTGCCAGTGTTGCAGGTGGTAGGTATAACCAGTGTGTCATAATGCTGACCTCTGAATTTTCTAAATGGATGATTATGCCTTGTATAAACAGAGAATTCTGTGTTTCTTCTTTCTCAATGATTGTATCTCTAAAAGAATTTGTTTTCTTGTCTTAATGTGTTAGTTAGTGCTTCAGTTGGAATGTTGGAAAAGCAGAGATGAGGAGGGGACATCTTTGCCATGTTCTCCATTTTGGAGGAAAGTGTTCAGTATATCACCCTTAAGTATAATGTTAGCTTTAGGGATTTTGTAGATGTTTTTATCAATATGAAATTCACCCCTTACTAGTTTACTGAGGTTTTTTTTTTTTACATTTTATTTATTATTATTATTATTATTATTCTATGATACAGTTCCAGAGGCTTCTGATGTTTCCCTTATCCCAGTCCCAATCTCATCTCCACCCCTCACCTAGTTCCTCCATATCATTACTAACATATAGTTCTTCATACACAGTCATATGTCCATCATTGCAGGCATGGACAATGGCAGAGTCCAGCATCCTATTGTCAAGATATAGTGAACAGTTTCATTGTAAGTCCATCTTTGTCTAGAAATAGAAATGCATACCACACTGCATCCTCACATCTAGATATGTTAGTCTCCATTTCACAGCTACTGTACATCCCCTGAAATGAAAAGTCATGATACAAAATCAGCCAATTTATGTCCCGGTGGCTGCCCCACTTTTCATCCAGCTCCCTGCTTGTGGCATTGGAAAGCAGTCGAGGCTGGCCCAAAGCCTTGGGACCCTGCATCCACATAGGAAAATTAGTAGAAGCTCCTGGCTCCTGGCTTCGTATTGGCTCAGCTCCAGCCACTGCGGCCACTTGGGGAATGAACCAGCAGACAGAAGATCTTTCCCTCTGCCTCTCCTTCTTTCTGTAAATCTTCCTTTCCAACTAAAAAAATCTTTTTAAAACTGAGGGGTTTTTAAAAAATTATATTGAGTAGATGTTGGTTTTTTAAAAATGCTTTTTAGACAACTATTACTGTGAGCATGTATTTTTTTTTATCTGCTCATTCGGTGCTTTATTCTTTTAAGATTTTATTTTTACTTGAAAGACAGCTAGAGAGGGAGAGATAAAGAGAAAGAGAGTAAGCTTTATTCCCCAAAGGGCCACAATGGGTGGAACTGAGTGAATCAGGAACCAGGAGCCTCTTGGTTTTCTATGTGGGGTGCAGGGGCCCAAGGCAGAGGCGTAGCGTACACTGCCCCATGCTACTGACCCCTTCTGTGCTTTTCTTGTTTACATGGTATCTGAGAAGTCAGGTATAATTCTAACCTTTGTTTCCTTGGTTTGTTTCTGTTTATCTGCTTACCTTGCATATCTGTTCTTGAATGCTGTTTATGTTATTTGTTAGAGCCCTTAACAAATTTTTGCTATTTTAAATTCTTAATGTGATAATTCCAGTGGCTTTGCCAAGTATGTCCATTGGCTTTTTTTTCCCCTGTAAGATTTATATTGGAAAGGCAAATTTACAGAGTGAGAGAGACAGAAAAAGAGACAAACATACAAAGAGAAGGATCTTCCATCTGCTGGTTCACTCCCCAGGTGGCCACAATGGCTGGAGCTGACCCAATCCGAAGCCAGGATCCTGGAGCCTCTTCCAGGTCTCCCACATAGTGCTGGTCCCAAGGACATAGGCCATCCTCCTTTGCTTTCCCAGGCCACAAGCAGAGAACTGGTTGCAAAATAGAGCAGCTAGGACATGAAATGGTGCTCATACGGATGCTGGTGCTTGCAGATAGAGAGGGTTAGCCTGGTGAGCCACTTCTCTGCCCCCATCCATTGCCTTTTTAGTTTCCTTCTAATACGCCTTTTAATTTTTTTCTTAAAAGCTGTCTATGATGAACCAGATAAAAACAGTTGCTATAAAGGGCTTGAGCTAGGTGTCCTCCGGTCGGTTAGACTCTGATAATTCCCTGGTAGATTTGGCTCTGCTAACGGGGCTTGCAATTAGGAGAGAATTGCTGAGAACAGTTTGTGCTGGTTTGTTTCAGAAAGGTTCCTTTCACCCTCCCACTGCAAGGACTTTACTGTTGCTTACTGTGAGAACTTGATCAGATTCCTGAAGGTAAACCTTGCAAGACGGCAGGGACACCCTTATGAGTGTACTCTTTGCTTCTGGCTTGGCTATATACAATGATTCCAGGAATCTTAATTATAGTTCAGGTTGCACTGATAACCCTGCTGGGATTCTGCTCATGAGTTGGCTTCAGTGTCTCCTTGGATGCACTTTCTGTGTCCTCCATTTTGGAGATTGTGGTTTGTTTTTTGTCCTCATGCCTATAATAGAGCCATTCGCCAGTGCGTTTAGGTTTTTGCTTATGATTAAGATTGAATGGTAATGTATAAGCCCTTTATGTGTGGTGCTGAAAATTAGAAGTTTTATTTTGTGTTAACTTCTGTATTTAAAGAGTTTTTTTTTTTTTTTCCAGAAGACTGTTAATGGATAAAATATGAGTTGAAAAGGAGAACCTATTAAGTGTAGGAGACATTCAAGGGTGAAAGAATTAAGCCTCTTGGATGTAATTATTTTGAGGGCTTTCTGTCCTTGTCCGCTGATTGTGCCCTCCTGTCACTGAGGATGTGTAGGTTAAACATCACTAGAATCCATCAGGATGACTTGTATTTGACCCATTGAAACATGCTGGCTCGATTTGCCTAAAAATAACGGAGAAGGCTGTTACGAGAAGGGAGGAGGAGTGGTCAAGGATTTAAGAGCAAAATGGACTGTGAATTGATTATTGTTGAAGCTGAGTAAAAGTTTGCTACCATCATAGACTTTGAAAGTTTTTTCAATAAAAAGGATAAAAACAAACTCATGACCTTAAACCATATTGCTGTTGTGGGAATACATTGGTTCAATCTGAAGTAGGGGGAGCCTTGTGTATAGCATAAACCCTTGCAAGAATTTTACCCTTTCCCACAGCCAACTTCAGCAGAGACTTTTCTTGACTCTGTTTTGTTTTGAATCTTAAAAAAATAAAGAGTGATTTTTTTTTTTATTTGAAAGGCAAGAAGAGAGAGAAAAAGGGAGAGAGAGAGAGACTTTTCAATCATGGGTCTACTTCTCAAGTGCCCACATGCCATGCTGAAGTAGGGAATTAGAAACTCAATTTGAGTCTGTTCTGTAAGGTTGCATGGACCTAATACTAAAACCATCATTTGTTGCTTCCCAAGTTGTGCATTAGCAGCTAAAATTGGGAGTGGAGTCAAAACTTGAACTCTGAAAAGTATTGTGGGCATTCCGAGCAGAGTTTGAACTGTTATCAGTGCTCATCTGGGCAGAGTTTTAGGAACAACTATTGAGTAACATCTTACTTACTGTCACAACTGTTAAGTAAGCTTAAGTAACATCTGCTGGGTTTTGCCTAGTTGCTTAATAGGGAAGCTAATACATTCCTTGGCTACTTACTATTTGAACTTAATTTTATGTTACTTGAGTAAAAATAAACATTTATGAAAGTGACAGTAGATTTTGTTTGTTCCATTTCGTTAATCCATGTACCACCAAGAGGTTTCTTTCTACTTTCATAATGTTAAAAAGTAACCAGTGCTAATGGTTTTCATCTAAATGTCCTCCTTTCATTGAGCATTTTTAGAGGAAACATTGCTTATGATATGTAAGAGAATCATATTTAATTTTGATCTAACACAGTTCACTAATGAGAAATAGTTACACATTTAAAAAATGCAGAAGAAAATGGGAAAATACTGTGCAGTATTACCAGTTTGCAAAATTGTGATATGTTAGTTTAACAAAGCTTTATCTTTTTGTTGCAAAGAATCAATCCAGAAAAACTTATGGATATCCAGAAAAAATTGGAATCATTTTTAGCCCAAGATCAAGATTTGAAAGAAAGAGCTCAAAGGGTAAGTTGTTGGTAAATTAGATATTCATGGGTGTAAAATATGTAATATAGGTGAATTTTGTTGTGTTCTTCTACTTTGAGACCATAAAGATCCAACTCCTTAAGCTGTCTCTCACTGTGCACATTATCAGGAAGTGAGACTTTTAAGTGGAGCTGGGACTCTTGAGTTATAGGCACTCCTGATTTGGGATGTGGGCATCCTGTGCAGTGTCATAATTGCTGTGCTAAATGCTTACCCTTGTATTATGGCTTTGAACTACAGAGTCTCAACAAACAAGTCAGTTTTACCTGAAGAATAGGGTTTACATTAAAAAAATTTTTTTCCTTAAATTAGCATTGTTACACTTAGCGTGAATGACCTGGTCTGAAATTTGAGTGCTTACTGTGTGTCAGGTATTCAAACATGCCATCACTTCTAATTTAATATTTCCAACAGTGTTCTAGATTTTGAAAGCAAGGAAATGATAGTTTGAGAAACTAAAAATTATCTAGGTGTTCATAGCTTTTAAATGGCAGACCTGATATTCAAATCCATATTAGAGGTTCTTAGAACTGTTCTACTTCAAGAAAAGTAAATGGCAGAATGAGAAAATCATATTGTGTGTGAAGGTTGGATTTTATTAACTCCCCTTGAAATCCAATGGAAAAGATCTTTGAACAAATTAATGATTTGTTAGAATTTTTGGGCATGCCAACATTTGTGTACATGTTTTGCCTAGCAAATGTCCTTGAAGCTAGGAGTTAAATCCTTAGAAGCTTTTGAAGATACTTTAAGATTTTTGTGCATTTTCTTATTTTGTGACTGGTTCCTTAGGAGGTCATTAAATTATCAATCAGGAAACATGAAACATTGGAAGGATGTTGTTTTACTGGTGTGTGCATACAACAAATGAACCTTCCAGGACAAAATTACAGAATAGCATACTGAAATAAATGATGTGATTTATTAGGTGTCACGCATGATTTGGCAGAATGACTCACTGTGTTGCCAGCAGTAGCATGCTATCTAGTGTCATGGAAGTGATTTTCCAGGTTTTGATTATAATCTAGATAGAATAGAAATAATAACCAACTGGGGTGATTTCTTGTGGACAGTTGCAGGGAAAAATTATCCTTGAACTGATGCCAATCATTGTTTTTCATGCCTATAGAGATAGAAAATGGTTTGGAAGTTAGTTGGGTAGGAAGGATTAGTGTAAAGCTAAAGAAAATGTGCAATGTAGGAAACATAGAAATGTGAAAACAGAAATTAACAGACTTTATAAATGAACTTAAAAGTGAGAGATACTTTGATATGTTTTGTTAGCTGTTTCTCTTGCAAACTGAGAAAGGACCAGGATACATTTATTTTTGGCTTGTGTAACTTTGGGGTAAAGATAGCCTTAATGCTTTCTTTGTTAAACAGAACAAAAAAACTTCAGGCTGATGTTGAATTATTTGAAATTGTAATTAAAAGAAAAGCTTTAGCACCAAACTTTTTGTTTGATTTTAAGCTGTGTTTAGCTGATAGAGTGAAGTTTTGTTTTGTTGAAAACTTACCCTTTGACAGAATAATAATTATCAGTGTCCAGCATTTATTGGCACTGCATTCCAGATAATGTACTGAATGTTCTACATGCATTTTCTCGTTTTATTCTCAAAATGCTCTAAGTAAAAGGCACTATTATTTTGTCTTTTTAATAGATGAGGAAATGAACATCTAGAGTAACAAGTTTGCGTGGAGCTCAGACTATCACAGATCTGTGTTCCACAGTTTTTGTTTGCCCAGCTGTAATTTTTTGCAAGTGAAAGATGGTGTTCTTTAAACTGCTTCACAAAACAAAGTTCAAAGTCATTTTTTATTTTACAGTTCTAGAATGTAGGTTATTTTTCTTTGTGCAATTCAGATGTTATTTTTTGTTTGTTTTTTCACTATTGTGGAAATTCTCCTGTTAATTTTGTTTTATTTTGTCTAAATTTTTCATTTCTGTTTTTCAAACTCTTATTTTACAGTGTTTTGTCTCCTATATACGTTCAGTATATCTCATGAAAGATAAAGAAGTATTTGATGTAAGCAAGCTACCTATTCCTGAATATGCCTTGTGAGTATTCATGACATTGTTACAGTGCTAAATTTTCAAAGTTAATGAGGAATTTGCACCACGATTGGTTCTCTGAGAATCCTATTTTTCATTCACTTTGCTTCAACCTTAGAAGAACCTGTTTGTTAAAGAGCTACAGGAAAAAATTAAATCAACTATATTGAATATTATCTACATATTTATTTCTTGTTTAACAGAGGAATCTCTTATTTGTGAGTATATATTTTTTAAATAGTCAGTTTAGAGAGTCAGGCTCATAGATATCAAGAACAAGGTTCTTTGAAAAAACATTTTTAAATAGTTGTTTATTTTTATTGGAAGGGCAGATTTACAGAGAAGGAAAGATAGAAAGATCTTGCATGTGCTGATTCATTCCCCAAGTGGCAGCTATGGCCAGAGCTGAGCCGATCCAAAACCAGGAGAATATGAGACAAAAAGATCTTTAATCTGCTGATGAACTCCGCAGATGGCTGCAGCAGCCAGTTCTGGGTCAAGGAATGGCGGGAGCTTTATCGGGGTGTCCATGTAGGTGTCAAGTGTTCAGACACTGGAGTCATCTTCAGCTACTTTTCCCCGACCTTGAGGGAGGAACTGAATTGAAAACAGAGCAGCGGGTACAGAAAGTGGTGTCAGTGTGGGATGCCAGTGTTTCAGATAATGGCTTTACTTGCTGTCACAATGGTAGTACCATCTTGATTTCTTCTTCTTTTATTCCTTTTTTTATTCCTCTTCTTCTTTATTTCCTTTTTTTTTTTAAAAAGATTTATATTTGTTTGAAAGACAGAGCTGCAAAGAGAATAGACACGCAGAGATTTCTGTCCAGTGGTTCACTCCTCACATGGTTGCAACTGCCAGAACCAGACTGATCCAAAGGCAGATACCTGGAACTTCCCTGGGTTTTTTACATGATTGCAGGATCCAAGGACTTGAGCCCTCTACTGCCTTCCCAGGCAATAAACTGGACTGGGAGCTGAATTAGAAGTGGAGCAGCCAGGACTTGGCATGGCATTCCTATGGGATGCTGGCACCATGGAGAGGCTTAGCCTACTAAGCTACCAGCACTGGCCATGAACATTTGTTTCCTGCAAGTACTCAGTTACTGCTGCAGGATATCCCTGTTTATTACTGAGGTTGCCATTTATGAAATGGAATGACTGAGTTTGTTTTGGTGCAATATTTGAAGTAGTTTTCTTTTGTTTTCCTTTTTAACCTGTCCTGTAAATGATTATGTATAATTTGATATAATCCTAACTCTGACAAAAGCATTGAGAAGATTGTAGCAGGCACCCTAGAGATTAATCATACTTTGAATTGTTCTTGCTCCAGGCTGTGATAGCACATATTTATAAGGCGAAGTCTCACTGTTTTGGTCTGTACTCCTGGTATTTAAGTACCTTTCCATTTGAGGCTAACCAAAATTTATATCTGGGTGAGCGATTATTTTCTGTTCTTTCTGTTAGATTGTAAGTGTAACATAACAGGCAGTTTGTCAGTTGTAACATTTTAGAACTCTTTAAATTGCTGGATAGCAGTGTAAGGCACTGACTTTCCATTGAAAAAATAAATGGAAAACCGTGTGCCTGCCATAGATAAAAAAAAGTTTTTATTTGCTTCTCTGTGTATTTGGCAGCATCTATGTTTCACCATTCCTGAATATGGTCCATGGTTAAGGTTAACTGATTTCTATGCTCAGTGTGAAGTTCTAGCTTGATTTAGGAAGCATGAAGGACTTTCCTGCTCCATGGCCATATTTAAGGGACATTTTTTGTAACACATTCCATTGAATTTTATCTATTTGCAATGAAGAAGTGATAGTGAAACATTGGGTTCCTGTTAGACAGGTGGGAATCTAAACTGAGTTCCTGGCTTCCAACTCTGGCCCAGCCTGGCTTCAGATATTGAAGCCATTTGAGGAGTGAACCATTGGCTGGGAATATTCTATTTCTCTGCCTCTGGATACGAAAATCATTCTTGTGGCAGTAATTGTGCCCTGCTTTGATTCAGAAGAGTGGAGGCAGGATAATACTTCCGATCGTCTCAGCACAGAACTGTTTTCTCCTTTCCTGGCCTGTCTTTTTTAGTACTTACAAAATGCTGCTGCAAATGGAAGTTAATTGGGTCTTTACAACAACTCTGAAATAGGCCTGAAATGTGTTATTATCTCATATTATGTGGAAGGTGAGGCTGACAGAAGAATTGGAAATTGGTGGGTCTAGAATTAGAACTGTAATCTTGTTTCTGGTCTAGTGCTTTTTAACTGTGTGTCTGAAGTGTTTGCTGAGAGATATCAAATGTATTTTGCCTTGCTTTGGTATTGCTCTGTATCTCAGAGGAATGTTTTCATTTAAAAAGATCTAGAAATGAATCTACCCTTGAGGAAGTGTCCTGTAATACCCACCCCACTATCAGTTTATTGAAAATATATTTTTATTTTTTATAAATTTGAGATCTCTTGGTCTTGCTGTGGCACCACGTGTAAGATTTCTTCAGAAAATGCAGAAACAGTGCAGCAAAGAATTGGTAATGGACAAGGCCAATAAAGCAGATGAGCCAACGGTTCCTTCCCTCACCAATGATGAAGTAGAAGAATTCAGAACGTATTTCAGCGAGAAAATGTCCATTCTTCAGAATGGTGGGAAAAGTCTAGACCAGACAGAGGATGGACTGTCTAATGCTACCAGTGATGAAGAACAAGAAGATGAAGAAGAAGTGGAAGAAAAATTGGGAAAAACAAAAGAGGCTCAAATTCAACCTGCCTCTGGTACTGCTGAGGCACAGAAGCAGAGGGAAGTTCCTCTGCAGTTCCTGGACAGAGATGAGGAGGAAGAAGATGGACCTGATGGTGATTTCTTGAAGGTGAAGCGACACAATGTGTTTGGGTTGGATCTTACAGAGAAGAATGAATTAGAGGTAAGTTGACTCCAGGTGTAGGATCTTCTCTTGTGTCCTGTTACAGTTTGCTGTTTGTTGCCTTTTGGGAACTTAAGTAAGAGGTAAGGAAATTTCGACAGATTTTCTTTGTAGCACACTCTTCTCCCTCCATATTTAAATACAGAATAAGTGCCAAAGAATTCTCATTTCTTTTCATTTTTTGTTATTTTATTACTTTTTAGAAAGATATGTTTTATTTTTATTTGAAAGGCAGAGTTACCGAGAGGAGAGACCCAGAAAGACACCTTTTGTTCACTGGTTCACTCCCCAAATGGTTGAAATGGCCAGAGCTGAGTCAGTTTTTGAGGCCAGTATGCTCCTCAGAGATTCCTACAGGGGTTCAGGGACCTAAGATCTTGAGTCATCCTTTGCTGCTCTCCCAAGCCGTAAGCAGGGAGCTCATTTGGAATAAAGCAGCCAGGATTTGAGCCTGACCCTGAATGGCGTGCTAGTGCCAGAGGCAGAAGCTTACCTATCGTGCCTGGCACTGGCAGCATTTTATTTCTTTTCATATTTTGGAGACTCTTAGAGGTTAGCGACTTTACTCTTATTAATTGAATTTTTTTGATGCTGCGTTTTAAAGGTAGCAAGAGTCATGATTATAATGTGGAAGATAATGATGTTCCCACGGTTTATGGCTTAAAGATTTTTTTGTTGTAATTCTTAGAATACTGCTTTCTGGTTCCTTAAGGAGCAGCAGTGATTATTTAAATAGATTTTTACCTTTTTTAGAAGATTTATTTATTTTTAATGTAAGTTACATAGAAGGTGAAGAAATGGAGAAGAAGAGGTCTTTTATCTACTGATTCACTCCCAATATGGTGGAATGGCCGGGACTGGGCCAGGCAGAAGTCAGGAGCTTCCTCTAGTTCTCCTACATGGATGGCAAGGGCTGAAGCACTTGAGTCATACTTCAGTGCTTTTCCCAGGACATTAGAAAGGAGTTGAGTTGAAAATGGAGCAGCTGGGACATCAGTTGGTACCCATTTAGGACGCTGGCATTTCAGGTGGCAAGCTTTATCTGGTGTGCTATAATGGTTATCGCAATTTACATTCATTTCTTTACCCAGAGCTGGACCATAAGTAAGTTTCCAATGAAAAGCTTGATGGGCTTAAAATAATCCAAACAGTGTTGTTGGATTTCATATAAATGTGAACATAAATAGCTTAGTTGACTGTAGTACATATATATGTATGTTGGCTTGGCTGTTTAATTTTGGTAAAAAAAAAAAAGTGAGCGATATTATCTAATGGTAATGTGAAATTCTGCTTTAGGCTTGTGCTTGCATCATAATATGCCAGATTCTTTCTTGAAAATATCTGCTTGATGCTTTCTTTTTTACTGTAATAAATTTGAAGTATTATGGTGTATTTTTCCTATACAAGAAACATTTTACGTAGTTGATAGAATTTTGAGGTGCTGATCAAATGCTGATCTGTTTCTTGCTGTACATTGTAATACACACAAGCAAAATAGTTAAGTTAGTATTTATTCAACTAAATAGAAATAGAAAAAGTAATCACTTTTTATTCCTGTTGCCTCAGAAGTCTTTTGAACTTCACCTGTTATCTGCCAACATCTATTACCCAGACATTTATTTATTTATTATTTTTTTTAATTACCTCATTTGAAAGTTTGAGTTACAGAGAGAGTAAGAGAGAGACAAGGAGAAGTCTTCCATCAGCTTATTCACTCATAAGATGGCTGCAACTGCTGTGGCTGAGTTAAGCCTAAGCCAGGAGCTTCATTGGGGTCACCTGTGTGGGTGGCAGTGGCCCAAATACTTGAACCAGTAGTAGTGAGCTAGAGTGGGAGTGGAGCAGCTAGGGCCCTAATCCATTTGGGATTTAGTTGGTTTTGACTGAATTCATGCTGTTGTCGGCTTTCGGGTTTAGCCTTTACGCTTGCTTTTCATTTTTTGGTGTTATCCTGCAGGTATCACTCACTGGAGACTTCTTCCTTTTATTTCTTATTGTTAAGAACATTCCTGATAAAGAGAAACCACACACAAAATTGAACACAGCACTGTCATTTACACATCTAAGTGTTTTTTTCAGACATTACTTCCTTTGTTCAGTTCTTTTGTTGCTGCTTTTGAAAAGTTGTTTTCAGATGCCGTAGGAGATGTGAAAGAGCACTAGTTTCGTTTCTTAGCCTGTCCCCTTTATCTTGATGATTTTTTTCCCCTTCTCATCTCTGAAAAACGGCGGATTGTGGAACTAAGTCAATGCTTGGAGCCAGGAAGAACATTGTACTGCAGATTACATGGAATTCATCCAGTAGTCATATGATCTGTGTCATCACAATATTTGATGATTTGGTATTTTATCATATTCTAAACACTTTCCTTATAAATATTTATTTTATTTTTCACATGACAAACTATAAATAATTTTGGGTTACCTTTCACGTGTACACACTTGGAATATAGTAAGAATAGATTTGTCTTTAGATTTAGGTGTGAATGAAAAGTGACACGAGCAAGCAGTGCCAGCTAGAAGGTTGCCTTGTCACATTCCTTTTTTTTTTATAAAGATTTATTTTTTATTATTTTTTTATTGGAAAGGCGGATATACAGAGAGGAGAGACAGAGAGGAAGATCTTCCGTCTGATGATTCACTCCCCAAGTGGCTGCAATGGCCAATACTATGCCGATCCGAAGCCAGGAGCCTCTTCCGGGTCTCCCACGCGGGTGCAGGGTCCCAAAGCTTTGCGCCGTCCTCGACTGCTTTCCTGGGCCACAGGCAGGGAGCTGGAAGGGAAGTGGGGCTGCCGGGATTAGAACCGGCGCCCAGATGGGATCCTGGGCGTGCAAGGCGAGGACCTTAACCACTTGCGCCACCGCACCGGGCCCTGTCACATTCCTTTTTTCTGTTTGCCCTTCACTGCATTGATCTTGTCAGTCTGATTTTCTTGGCAGTGAATAGGGAGTCCTGTGTGATGGAGCAGTAAGAGAGGCGCAGGGGAGGGCACATCTGGAGCCGTCCTGTCTTAGTGCTGTAGCAGTGGTTCATGTCCCACCACAGGGTTGAGATTTATTTTGGTTTGTTTTGATGGCTATTGAAGGCTTAGAAAATTGACCTTCAGGGAAATAGTGTCAGTAAGCATGAGTGTATAATTATAATATTTAAATTTAAAAAAAGCATCTGTTTTCTTAAATATAGAAGGAAACTTCTAAGCATATACTTTTTTTACATTCTACACTTTATAATTAGTTGGAAATGAGACTTAATGGATTCAGTTTTTTGTTCACCAATTGCCCTTTTAAAGCTGTCTGAACAGTAAACATAGTTTTAGTTAGGATTTGAATGGGGTCTGCCAGTGTGGGTAGAACAGGTAAGCTGCTGCTTTTGATGCCAGCTCTGTTCCACATTGCAGTACCAATTCAAATGTTGCCTACACTGCTTCCACTCTGATGCACTGGGCAAGGCAGTGGAGGATGGCCCAAGTACTTGGCACCAAGATGATAGACCTGCGTGGAGTTCCTAGTTCCTGGCTTTAGCTCAGCCCAGACCTGTCTGTTGAGGCCGTCCGGAAAGTGAACTAGAGGTTGAAAGGTCTGTTTCTCACTGTCTGTTACTCTTTTCAAGTGAAGAAGTAAGTAATAAAGGTTATTCATTGATTTTAGAGCCTGTTTACATAGAAACTCACATTATCATCTATATTGATACGTGTGTTATAAGGACTCACTGCTAGTTTTATAGCACATTGTAACTAACTGAAAAGCTTATTTGGTAATTATACTCTTATAATAGTATTACAAATCCAGATTCTGATTCATGGGAGGCCTGGGGTTTTTGGCGCATCTTGTATCTTCACTTTGTCTCTCCCTTCCTTGGCGCTTTATTTTCCTTTCCAGCAGTGGTCATGGATTCTAGTAGGTGCAAAGGCCTGTACTCAGTGCCTAGTGACTTTTTCCGAGCAATAAACAAACATTAATCCAAGGTTAATAATCCAACAATGCTAATACAGAATTCTGACTTTCTGTGTATTCATTTAACCTTTATTTTAAAGCTATAGTATTGATATCCTAGTAGAGAATATACTTTGGATGAAGCTGTGTGGTAATATTGGATATGGTAATTAATAGCAAAAAGAAAGACCATTATAAGCAAAGACTAAAGAATAAGCAAAACCATGGCAACAAGAATGCTTAGGGTGGGCATTATTTCTGATCTGCTATCTGAGTGTTGGTGTCTGTTTTGCAAAATGGGGCCAGTGACCTGTCTTTTGGACAGAGCTGTTTTGATGATTAGCAGCTGGGACAACTAACTTATTAACAGTCAGCATTAACTTTTTTCCTCATTCCAGCATTTCACATTTTTATTTGTCTTTAAAGATTCCATGCTAATCTTGATTGCCTTGAAGATATCCTGTTTCTTCAGTCCAAGGACCCCCTGGATTCTGATAATTAACTTTGCTGGCTTTTTCCTTTGTTTCTTGATATTTGATAATATGTCCAGGTGAATCTTTTAATTTCTGTTTTCTTCAATACTTAGTGAAGTTACCATAACTTTTTTGTCCAAGGACATTATATAGTATTCAGTTGTGTTAAAACAAAGGAAAAGCTCTGTTAAAAACAAAACCAGAAACAGTCTGCTATCCTGTAAGGTTTTGATACTCTGACTATTAGGAAAGAGATGCAGGAAAGACTCAGAACAGAGAAGAAGACTGGATAGAAATTCACAGGCAAATCAGATTTCTTATCAAAGAGAAACAAATTCCTTAGAGGTGGCTGGTGGCCAGCTGCCTCAGACAGATGACAGTGCCCAGTTTTCTGAGGGGTGGGAGAGTGGGCAGAACTGAAGTAGCATTTCACAATTTAGTGGGATTTTCCTCGTTATGGGCTGTTTGAGCAGAAAGGAATGCCCAGATGGGCTGGGCCACAGTGTAGGTTGCGGTTAGACTTATCCTTTGAAATGCAGCAGAGTCCCTGAATGGGTTGATTCTGTTGATTGCTCGGGAGGCCCAGGGCCGT